GATCACAAAAGGATGTGGAGTTGTGGAGTGTGCTTTTGGACAATAAATTAGGTTTTCTGCATACTCCAGTAAAATTTAACTTGCAGAATGCATTCAGTGCAGTTAAGGCAGCATGTGCAGGGGTGACCATCTTGGTAGAGGTTTTGTTTTGTCATGTCAAAGCTGCCCTCCTGATGACTGGTGATCTAATGAATGGCAGGGATACACAGGTATTGCAGGTACAGAAAGTAGTGCAGTGGTGACATACCAAAGTGGATGTAAGCTCAAAAGGTGAAGGGTTTCTATCTTATAGGGAAGATCTAGAAATGGTATGGGAAAACATGTAAATGTTTGGGTTGATGCTGCTTGGGTACAGCAACATTTCTAGATGTTCCTTATAAGATAGCAAATCTTCACTTTTTGAGTTCAAGTCCACTTTACCAGTTGAACTATGTTACAGGAAGCAGCAACCTATTTCTTTGACACATATACTTATCTAATTATCATGCACAGCCCTGTAGTCCAATGCCTATTTTCTCTAGCCCACTTGTGTTCCTATTTCCCAATGCTACAAGATGAATGAATGTCTGAGGATTATTTAGATTCTAAAACTTCAGATCAGTTTAGTGCTGCATAGTACATGCTGCTTTTGTTATTTAAGCTATTTCTTTCTTTAGAAATGGTTCTTTGAATATTTTATGCAAGTGAGTGGTTCACCGTTTACTCAGCAAAGGTGAGATCTGTCATGGAAAAATTCACTATGAGGGAAATTGGATATTACATAATAGACAGAAACGGAATATTTACATAGCAATCATTGTTAAAACTGACAACACTGGTTTACTATGCATAATAAGCAATTATGAGGCTATTAGATAGCACTTATGAATTAAGTAGGTATCTCTATGGCATTATTGTTGAATTGAATTGTTGAAACTGCTTACAAGTTAATTGATTCATTCATTTTGATCGCCTTAATCATTATGTTAATGCATGCAATGTATTGTCACACATTTCTTTTTTTTAAACAAGAAATAGTTGTCTGTAGTTTCATACCAAATCGCCTTTTAATTTATTTTAAATCTTATCATTGTAAATTGGTTTGGTATTTCTTACAGCATGCTGTCTAATTTGTAATTAATTGTGATGACATGGGTGCATCTGTGTTAAAGAGCTTTCATTAATTAACCACTTTTTTCTTACATTTTAATTTCTTTTGTGTCTGATCAAATATTTCAAGCATCATCTTTACTAGATATATTAGGCATAGTGCTAAGCATTGAATTTTATTTATAACTTATTATTATTTGCTGAACAACTGGTTTCTAATAAGCAACTAGTGGTAATACAGTGTTAAAACAACCTGCAAATGTACTGGTTAGTTATTTTTAAAAGTGTTTATAGAGGTTTGGACAGAACCACCAGACAACACCCCACTGCAAGGAGTTTACTCATACCCCAAAGTCAGCAACGGGAGAGTCACCCCTCCTTTTTGTTACCCACATATTCTGAGGCTAAAATAAAAGTGAAAGACTTAAAGCTGAACTCCAAGCAGATGAAAAAAGCACAAATGGTCAATATTCATTAATACATACTCAAGGGACTGTTTCACCTTGTGCATTGCAGCAACACAAGCTAAAACATACACCCTAATGTGCATTACCACAATGTATGGCAATGCACCTGCTCTATGAGAAGTGGGTTGCGGTGCCATTCACAATAAATGGCACCCAACGCATTGTACAGTAGAGCCCAATGCACCACAGCGCACCACAGCTCAAATACCCTGCAATGTGGTGCTCTGTGTTGTTAAAAATAATACACATGCTATCTTAATTGAATGTATATTAATGCATTCCACAATATGTGTTAATGTGTGAACAATTACGCTCTGCAATGGAACACTCAAGTGTGAATGGGCCTGGATTTTTTTTCTAATGCAAGCCGTCCATGTACTTTGTATCAGCCTCTTGTAGTCTTTGTCCATTGTTCGAGACACCTTCTCTGTCATATTGGATGTGCCGAACGATGTGGTTATGAAAAAACCAACAAAAGGAAGAGTGGTCAAATTTAAAGGAGAACTATGAGGTGAGTGCTTTTCACTCACCTCATAGTTCTAGCCGACATGTGACAATGAGACTGTCACAGGTCGGCTCAGTAGATTGGGAGGTGAGCAAACACATACCGGGTTCGCTCACCTCTCGATCCTGTCACAGCTCTCTGCCGTGACAGGGGGAGGGGCTGGATTCCCCTCTTCCCCGCTCCGATCTGCCAGCGCTGACTGGCGGAACGGACGGGGGAGGGGGCGGGTACAGCTGGCTCTAGATAGGCAGAGCCAGCTGTCACTCACGCAGCTGGGCGGTTCCCGTCATCTAAGCCGACTGCGGCATCTCAGTATACCGCGGTATACTGAGCTTAGGGTAACGGGAGGACGCTAATTTGTGTCCTTCCGTTATCCTAAGGAGAACTATGGGGAAAAACACTGACCCCATAGTTCTCCTTTAACCCATCTAGACTGTGTGGGAGCAATAGATGGGAAACGCATACATATCATCAAGCCAATAGGGAGTGGCAGAAAGTATTTTAACTATGAAAAATATTTTTCTCGTGTCTTACTGGTGGTCACGGATGCAAATTATTGCTTCTGTTACATTGGGTCTTATGCAAGCAGCTCAGACTTCAGTATTTTTGGGCATTCTTCCTTTGTCCAGATGCTGTGGAAAATGAACTTGATCTGCCCAAATGTTTCCCGCTGCTGGGAACAAGAAGTCCTGCTCTACCCTTTGTGTTTGTTGGAGGGCATTTGCCCTGATTGAGCACCTGCACCCTATAACACCCTATTCTAACTGCAGCCTGGATTTACAGAAGAGGGTTTTCAATTATAGGCTCACCAAAGGATGTAGAGTTGTGGAGTGTGCTTTTGGCCAATAAATGGCATTTTCTGCATACTTGAGTAAATTGAACTTGCAGAATGCATTCACTGCAGTTAAGGCAGCATGTGCCCTGTACAATTTTTTTTCATCAGCGTGATGGCTACCTTTTGAAGAATAATCAACACATAGTCCAAACATAAGCAATAACTATGAATACTTCTTCTTGTCTCCCACTGGAGAGCTCCCAGTGCAGCTTGAGGCTGTCAAATCATTTGACATAAGGACTGAAAATGTGCATACTTGTTGTAACTGTAATTGGTTTCTTTTCTCTGGTTATTTTGCGTAAAACAATTATCTGAAACAATCTGGTTTTGTTTTCTTCCTGTTTTGCTAAGGTTCTGTTCACACATATAGCGGTGACCTGTGCTGTACTGAACTGGATCAACGCAGGTCACCACTAGGACACATAGAAAACAATTTTCTATGTGTCCCATTCACACCACAACCCGGGTGTGATGGGCGGGGCGATGCAATAACTTGTAGACAGAAATATCATACCAGGAAAGCATGAAAACATGAACAGTATGTCATGCAGTATGAGCACATGGCTTCTGTACACATATAGAGGCTCTTTGCTGTGTTTCTGAGGCTGGGCACACACCTTACAACCATCGCAAGACTTTTGTCTTGTGATGGTTGTAAGGTAATTAAAAAAACATACAATCTGCCTATCTTGGACAGGCAGATCTACTTGCGATGATCGCAAGCCTGCCCCCCTGAGGGACGGGCTTTTGATGACCACAATGCCGAATGGGCAGTGTGCGCTTGCGCACACCGGCCCGTCCGGCTTTTATCTTACGAACATGCGACACACCCGCCGAAAATCGTACGATTCTCGTCGGGTTTTCGAACATGTTTGTAAGATAAAAGTCGTGCGACCTTACAGTAGTAGAGGTTGCACGGCTTCCACACACCTTACGATAATCATACGATCGTGGGATTTCCCGCGATTATCGTACGATTATCGCAAGGTGTGTGGGCACCTTTAGAGGTAGAGTAGCTTTCCTAACTAGGACATAACTGTGCCATAATTTCTTCCAAGGCTTTGTTTTGTCTTCCTCTGCTTCAATATTGGGGCACCTTGGGGTCATAAAGGTTTGTGTGGGAGCACACTAGGAATATGAATGAATGAATCGGCATCAAACAGGGACAATGTGCTATGCCAATGTGATCAGTTGTGTTTACAAAGGGGAGGACAGCTGGTTATTTTGTGGAAAACGCTTGACAAGTGCAAAAAAAAAAAATGCTTGAAAACATCTGTTCTGTGCATTTACATGCATTCCCATTGGAGTCTATGGGGCCAAAAATGCTAAATTCTGTTGTGTACTTTTTCCAGCGACAGGCCTTTGGTTACAAGGGCAGAGCGCTCCCATGTGAACAGGGGCAATTAAAAAAACAAATTAAAATCCTCTGCTTGAGTGTTGTGGCGCTTTCAGCTACAAAATCCTACGTGTGAATGGGACCCTAGGGGAATATTTAGAAAGTAGTGAACTTGACAGTCACCAAACATTCAATGTAGGTGTATGTTCTTTGTTCATGTGTGTTAAATTAGAGTGATTGATTTGCCTGTAGTGAATGTTTGGTAATTGCCACATTTACTACTTTATAAATAGTCCCATTCTTCATATATCATTAGTGAGCTGCATTCCTCAGAATGTGCAGATATTCTGTTTAAGGCCCCATTTACACAGGGCTTTAGACTGCAGGCAAGAACCTAAGGATTTTTGCAGCAAGAATACCAGGAGTGTCCATACAAATATGGCTGCTGTGTCTGTTCAAGTTAATGACAGGCTGACAGCAGCTGTATCTGTAAGTGGCAGTCCGCATGTAATCGTACTTGCATTGATTACCTGCAGTTCAGGATAGATGATTGTCCCTGGACGCAGACAGTTTGCCTATTAAAATGGGCGCATCGGCTGCATCTGTACAGACACACCTGGGATTCCTGCTGCAAGAATCTGTAAGTGTTTGCGGCAGGAATACCCGCCCATAATAGCCTTGTGTGACTGTAGCAATGTTTACCACGAATGTGCTGGTAAATAAGAGAGCCCCTTCAACTCACTTGTATTCTTTTTCTTTATCATAAAGGAAACTGGCTTTGAAGCATCATCCGGACAAAAATCCAGACAATCCTGAAGCAGCGGACACATTCAAGGAGATCAATAATGCTCATTCTATACTGTCTGACATATCCAAGAGAAATATCTATGACAAGTATGGCTCCCTGGGCTTGTATGTTGCAGAACAGTTTGGAGAAGAGAATGTCAATGCATATTTCATGTTATCTAGTTGGTGGGCAAAGGTAAACTCATTTATGTTTATTACACCTTTTTCTCCTGAGCAATATTGACATACCGTATATACTCGAGTATAAGCCGTCCCGAATTGAGCAATAGCCAGCCTGCTATTGGATATTTTAAATTGCAATAGCCAATAGCAGGCTGGCTATTGTACCCGCCCACTGCCTGCTGTCAATCAGCAAAGGAGTGAACTGAAGACAAAGTTCTCAATCAGGTCCTCTCTGCTGATAGACAGCAGGCCATGGGGGCGGGTACAATAGCCAGCCTGCTATTGGCTATTGCAATTTAAAATATCCAATAGCAGGCTGGCTATTGTTACAAGTGTCCATTCCTTTTCCACTTGATGAAACGGTTTGCTTTTGGTGATATATCTCAGTGTCAGCTGTCCATGCTCCTTATGTGTTTAATAAGGCCCTCACCAGACATACTCAGATGTTTTCCCTCTCAATGAAAGAATGCAAGTTGACAGCATTACACATAAGGAGCACGGACATCTCAAAAATTGTGATATATCACCAAAAGCAAACAGTTTCATCAAATTGAAAAGGAGGGGACACGGAAGGATGGAGGAGCAGCAGCTAAGGTACAGGGGGGCAGCGGGGGATTTCACAGCTGTAGTCTCTTCTGCCTTCTCGTGATGGCTACAGGGGTCTGTGAAAGGGACAGAGAGCTCTGCAGCCAGCACCAGCGGGGAGAAGAGCTTGTCCACACATAACACTTACCGCCCGCCATGCTGTCACACTTACGTCCGGAGAGGTCAGAGCGGAGAGGAAGACTGCGTTTGGTGGAGAGGTATTTCGGGGGAGGGGCTAAGGGGGTCAATGGCCGAAGCTAGTTAAACATTTTTTAAAGGGCCGGTATCTGATCTATGCATAGGGGCATTTTCAGGAGTACAAGTACTCCTGAAAATGCACTGTATCGGCCCCGATACCGGTACTAGCAGCGGTATCGGGACATCCCTACTTGTAACCCTTCTACCAACAAGTGACGCCCGTGCAATCAACAAGGCGCCCGTGCACCAAAGGATAGCACTCCTAGCTTATAAGGTAACAGCTGTCTGCTCTAGAAGACAGAATGATGGACCTAGAATCCTCACATTTTACACAGTTTCACCAGCTTTCATTGCTCCACCTTAAAGTGGACAATGGGAAAATTAGAAGCCATAGAAAAATTATTAGATAACATGACATCCTGGAGGCCACATAAGGCCTAAAACCTAAAAACTCCAGTTTTAATCATACTGGTTACTGTTTTAGACAGAGACCCATCTGTGCACCTAGAATTGGACCAGGTTCACAGGGTTGCAGGGCAAAGGGCCGATCGCGATGGCGCAAGACATACTCTGCAGAGCACATTTTACCCTCAACAGGAGGAAATAAGTAAATGAGACTTTACACTGCAATAATACACAATCTGTTTGTCCTATCTCACTACATCTTATACATGCGTAGACAAGTCAGACTGCTTTTGGACTGCATAAAATAGTATGGATGGGACCACCCTTTTCACATCTTGATCAGAAAAGGGAGCTGATCATATATACTTTAGACACCTGCTCAACTCCCGGGTCTATATGACTTTCTGGAAATAGAATCAGTGGATGTTCCAGATTGGTTTACTCTGCAGAAACTCCAGTCCCAATTTCTTTTTTTTTTCAAATTCTTTATTTATAAAGGCATGCGAAGCACGCCCCACAAAATACAGCCAAATACAAAATAGGCGGAATCATCCGCAAGTACAGTCACGGCAAGTATACATCATTGGCTTTAAGAATTACATAATGCAATAGTAATCTCTAGCATAGAGTGTGGGGTCTCAGCAATACCTTATGCGTTTTTTTTGTTTTTTTTAACCAATACAACTTTAAGGCAGTTAGTGAGAATCTTCATTCACCAACTGTCTAACAAACTGAGGATAGGCAGCAGAATGCCGCTCAGAATAGGCAAGAAAAGAAAGGCGACAACGGAAACAGAAGTCAGAAGAAAAAAAAAAAAAAAGACTTAGAGGAGCTAGAGAGAGAACACCGCATCAGATCTCCCCCTCCCCCCCAGTCGGGCCCAGCCCTCAAGTCAGGCTCCAGTCCCAATTTCAACAAGAACCACATCCACAAATCTTTACATATCTCTCATAAAGCATAGACTTCCCCCACTCACCAATGGGTTATACTATTTTTTTTGCCTCTAAGTCTTGCTATCATTTAGTGACGGTGAACCTTTTATCACCCTTTGTCTTTTACTATATCCCTATGGTTGAAACCCACTCAGGTGCATATTTCTCTCTCTAAGCTTGACTTATGGAAAGGGAAAGAACACCTGAGTAGTGGTGAGACTAAGCCTGCATTCACAACTAGGCATCAGCATTTTTGCGTTTCTGAGTGCGATTTTGTCTAGTTGTCTTGCACATTTTTGCTCATTTTGGCAGATTGAAAGATATTGCAGTCAATGGAAAAACGCACGTTAAAATGTGCAAAAATTGCACAGAATGTGCAAAACCCATGTGTCGGGCTTTTCCAGGCATTTTAATTGAAGTCTATGGGGCCAAACGAGCTTTAAACCACCCAAAAGAAGCTCGTGTACTTTTTTCAGCCACAGGCGTTTTACAGCTTGTGACAAAATACTCAGGGGTGAATAGGGGACATTGATATGGATGGGATTTCTTGTGTTGAGACTTTTGTCGCGTGACAAAACATTGAGGTGTGATTGGGGGCTGAAAGTCCTTCCTCTACAGAGTTCGAACTAACCAGTGATCTGGCCATAATGGGGAATAATTCAGGTTATATATTTGACAAGCTTCATGAACTTTACTCTATATAGAGTGGATACATCCGGAAGTCATATTTTTCTCAACTGGCCAGGGCTTATCTCCATCTTCTTGTTCTGCCTAATGGTCTGAAAGGTGTCTGGACTGAGCCCGGATTATTTTTTTTCTAAGTGGGCCCTAGGGCATACCTGGAAGAGACTCACTGTGATTTCTTTGGTTAAGCTCTGCAATTGTCTGGTTTGTGGTTTTTATGTGTTTGCACATGTCATGATAGTTAACTTTAAATTGGTTTATATAGCTGATTTGTGTTAATATGCAACATACTGCGTGCTTGTCCTAAGTCACAAGCATCCTCATCCATATATGCAAGTCCACTGAGGGCACTCCCTCTGGAACAGTGTGCCTCTTATTAACTGGTCAACTCGAGGAAAAAACTAACACAGACAATCATCAACATCTAAAATTAACTAACTTTCTTTCTATCTTTTCCTTCTCTCCACACCCCCACACGTTTTACTCTTCTCTCACTCCTTTCTCTACCCTATACCCTCCCACACACAACTTACTCTAATACTCAGTAACCAACCCAGCATGGCTCCTTAGGATTAACAAACACACTACCAAATTGTTATATTAATGAGAAAGACTTGTTAATTCCAGAGAAAAGATTAAGGATCATCAGGAACATGTGGAGAAGGGTAAATAAGTAACATTTCTATGGCCCAAATTCAAGTACATTTTCTTTAGTGGAAACATTTATTTTCCTGCTTTGATATCCTAACCAAATTTGCAGCTCATGCCAGTTTAACCGCTTCTCGGCCAGCCGTTGTAATTAAACAGCTGTCCGGGAGCTTCTTGGATGTGCGTGGGTATTTGTAAGATGTCCTCACTCTGTCCCACTCATGCACGCCGCTGGGTGGTGTACGCGAGGGTGAACATTGCTTAAATTGTAAACAGCCAGCGATGGCTATTTACATACAAACGGTCTGTCGGCTGTAGAGCCGCTGATTTGCTTGTATAATGCGTGCTGGTGTGCTTGTTATCCACTGTGGTATTGTGTGGCAATCCCACAGTAGAACTGGGGGTTGTAGTAACCCAGGACTCTTAGCCAGAGAGACTGAGCAGTTCCAGGAAACAAATGATTTTGCTGGGAAAGAACTGGCTTTGCAGTTCTCTCCAGAAAACCTGGATTTGGTATGGGATCCTGGAACTGGGAGATTTCAAAGAGAACTGGGACACTGGGACAAAGAGAACAAGGACACTCCACTGTAGTCCAGGTAAGTCAAATCAAATGCAGTTTATTTAGGGCAAACAGAAATATATCTTGCATCAGCAGCAACATAAGACAGTTCCTTTTATATGGCTCAGTAGATTCACTTATGAGCCCTCACTCTGCTCTCTCAGCAGTGTGTCGTAGCGGTCCTAGGGTCACCGACCTTCCTGACCTCTCCCCTCGTGGGCACTCAAACACATCCCTCATGTGTCACTGGCTCTCTGTCTCCTCGGCTGTCTACGAGGTGCCTCCAGCACACACAGCCACCTGGCTCCCCTCTGACGTCTGGGTGGAGTCCTCCTGACTCCTGAACACCTCTGTTCCTCTTCCCAGCTGGAGCCCAGAACACTAGCCAGCACCATTTCCATAAGGGCTATGCACAGGTGTGCAATCATTAGGTTCTGGCCCCTACTAAACCATGGACCCAGGAATGGAGATTTCATCCCTCCCAGTTCTCAAGTCTTTGGCTGTATTTATTCATTTTTCTATTTAAATAAAATAATTTTCTATACCATTTCACACGGTTCGTCCCTTCCTTGGTTAACCCTTCGGACCACCCATACTCTAAGGTGGATCCAACCCCGTTTTCTTTTTATACTGCTTTTTGGTTACGGATATGGTAGACGAACCACTTACAAAAGGGTAACTACTAGAGCTGTGTATCTCCAGGAGTGAGACAACTCCCCTTTTTCATGGCAAAGATTGTATATTCAATAAAACAAATATATGAACTTGAAAGGCAAAAACTTAAAGACAATACCCTAATCAGTGTAGTTAGATTTAAAGTGGAAGGGATAACAGTTATATGATCTTCTGTTGTTTAACGTAAAAGCTCAACAACTCAGGGCCAGAAGATCATGGTATGAGTTTGACAGTAAACCTTGAACCTTTTGTTGAAAGCTCCCAGAAGAAAAAAAAAATCTGGATCCTTTATTCCCTATACTAGTGGGAGTGACAGGACAATTATATTTAAATCGGAAGTAATATGCCATCCTACCAAAAGAGACTTAAATGCCATAAGCTAGTAGAGATGAGCACGATTCCGGCCATTCTTTGGGACCAACATAGGACACTCCATAGATGCCATTTATTCCCACTTGACAGCGATGGTCAAAATCAATGACATAACCTCTGACTATTTTGATTCGAGGAATGAGACTAGGCAGGGCTGTCCACTGATCTACATACTGTCCCTAGAACCATTCTTATGCCATATCAGAACCAATCCAAATATCTCAGGCCTACGTTTTGTGCACATTGAACATAAAGTAGCAGGATATGTGGATGACCTGTTTTTTGTCATTACACATCCAGAAATATTGTTCCCCAAATGAATCTTATTTTATTTATTTATTACAAGTAATAAATAAACCTACCTACATTGACATGCCTCCATTATATCTTGACCTGTCTGGGCAGTATGGTCATCTTCTGGATTAGCACAAACCACAGACAGCTTAACTCTAGTAATAAGTCACTTAAGTTTAATCCATCACACAGTTTTACTTCTCAAAATGTAGGACAGGGGAGGTTTTTTTAATCTTTTAAAGTCTAGAAAGACAATGATTTTCTCAGACTAGTGTCTGCTAACAAGGCTAGAACTAAACTGAGGGAACATGGAGAAGATAGGGAGGGACTAACTAGAACTGAACTAACTAACACTAAACAGGAGGGAGAAACAGAGGAAGATACCAAATGTACAAAAATAAACAAGTTGCTGTGACACTAATCTACCACTAGATGTCAGGCATACTGTATGCCACAACATGCATAATATACAATGGTGAACATCCAAAAGTGAGCCTGATTCTCAATTGAAGAGTTACCATTTGCACTAAAACAGAGTGGGGGCTGGCTCACAAATGACACCAAAGCAAACTTAGCCACACTGGTTGGTATTTTAAGAAAATATATGCATTAACATTCAGTGCAATGTTTTCTGATTACATTTTGCAATTTGTTCAATCTGTCTAGGGATTGTTTGCGATATGTGGACTTCTGACTGGTTGCTACTTCTGCTGCTGCCTTTGCTGTTGCTGTAATTGTTGTTTTGGAAAATGCAGACCAAAACCATCAGCTGGAGAAGATTATGAGCACTATGTGTCGCCGGAAGACCTTGAGGAACAGATCAGAACAGACATGGAATCAGGTGGTGTATATGGGTCTTTAGATGTCTTAAAGGGATGGTATAGTATATTTTATGTATAGATCTATCAAGTAAGTAATACCATTGGTTCACCAAGTTTGGGTGGAAAAGTGTGGATGAGGACAACCAGTACAGATAGTTGAATAGGGAAGTATAGAGGTTGGGCAGTCACATTTTCTTCTGTAGTAGAGGCTTCCAGGCTGTAAGAGAGGTTATAACAGGGAGGGGGAGAATGGCCTGAGGAGCAAGTCAATCCAGGGAACAATCCATGAGATACTGTACATATACAGGTCATTCCAAGAAACAGAGGAGCTCTCCAATTATTTCCAAAGCTTCCCAGTGGTAGGTTGGTCCAATGTTTAAAATAAACTAATAGCACAGCATAACAGTAACTTGGATGTTTACAAATCCTATACCTCTAACTCCTAAATGCTTCGACCATTAAAGTGAATTTGGTAAAATAAGAGTGGTGTACTGGAACAGGTATGGTACAAAACAGGTTTATTATCTGGGGAAGAAGCAGCTTTTTAAAAACAATGAAACCATTGGACCAGGATAACTCAAATTTAGCAAAAGTGAGTTAGTTGTTTTTGAAGCTTGTCTAAGAAAATGATATAGTTACACCTAAAGAGATCAGATGTAGATTTTGTAAAGGTGATACCTAGATAAGCTATTCCATTAGTATAGTGTATTTTCAGTGAATACCTATTTCAAATTATTATTGATGTTTGCCTTTAATTTATTTTGTCAGTTTATTGTGTATTGTTTTTCTGAAGCTGGCCGATTCTTAAACTAGCATTGTGAAAAGGCTAACTATCACTTTGTATCAAGCAGAAAGCAGAACCTTCATGTGTAATACACAAATATGGCTTAACCCATGTATAAACATAATTACAACCCAAACAGAAGTTTTTAAATTGTTAACTCACACTGATAACATTATTTATATCAAGCTGATATCTTATTTTAAACAATTTTATTATGTGAGACTTATGAGATAGGGTGTCCATTGGTATTTATATAGTGTGATAACATAGAATACAAAAGGAATGTTACTTCATGTGGACAGTTAATTATTTCATGTTTTGAGCATGATTTTATTGAAAACAATGGCTCTGACAATCATATCCCAAAATGTTTGACTGGGAGCTAAATCAGGTGTCCCAGGAGGTCAGTCCATTGTCTCATTTGTGTTCAGTGGTTGTCTAGTGCTTACTGCAGTAAGACAGTTTGGCAATTGCAGTGCCATCAGCTATACATAATGGAGGTTGTGTATGGAATATGAGAAGGATGTCCTACTTTAAGTAAAACATTGTTAATTTTTCTACAAGTGGCTTGCATTGTGACAAAAGATCTGCCCTAAGATAAAGTTATCAGTTTAATTGTTTGTCAGTCTAATAGTCTATTGCTGTTAATGACCAAAGTCTTCCAGTTAGACCTGAACCTGGTTCCCTGCCATATGCGCCATAGTTTGCTTTCCGATTGACTATCCAGTGAACACTATTATTATTGTTATTCATAATAATATATATACAGCTAGGTTTTTTTGTATGTGTTTTCACTGTTTTAATGGGTGGAGGAAGTATTTTGTTCTAAAAAACCCTCCATAAAACTTGTCATGCCTTCACTCTTTGGTGGTGATATAAGACAATATATTAATAGTTTTCATGAGGTTTTTTTTAACTGATCTATACCTTTTCCTCTTAAAGATCGAATTTGCTATCATTGACATATTGAGTCTGTTACTGTATCGTTTTTGAAACAGATCCATTTATCTGAAGCAGCCAAATGCCTTGAAGGTGTTCATGAAATGTGGCTAATGTAATAAAGTCACCCATATGTGTCACGGACTCTCATGCCTGTGAGTGTATTGGCAAGATTGTTTCTTCATAGGTCAAAACAAAGTCTCTAGGAGAGGAATTAAATGTTAATGAAGTAAGTCATTGAACACCAAGCCAAAAGCAAGAGACAGTGGTAACTTTTTTTACTGAAGAAAAAACCCAATAAATGAGTTAAATGTTAAAACTTTGGCCAGAGACAGGAGGACCTTGCAGATATGAGATATCCCTGTTCTCAAAGTTATTGCTGGGTGTCAGATAAGGCAGGAACTTCAGTCAAACTTGGTGCAGCAGGTGTTGCATGAACAATAAGAGCATTCTTTTATTTTGTGTGGAGAGGAGGTTTTGGGGTGCTGGTGGTGGATGTTCATTACTGGGGCGGAGGGTATGTGCTGGTGGTGGATGTTTGTTCCCGGGGAAGGGGGGAGAGTTCTGTCAGTGGATCCTTGTTACCAGGTGGGAGGGCTGTTGGCGCTACCCCTGGGTCCAGTGGCCCTGTCCAGTGTCTCTCCCAGCTCACTGATATCACTGGTTGCCAGGACCTAGGTGAGATGCCAGCCAGAGCATCCCACTTAGCTCCTGGCAACCAGTGACATCAGTGAGCTGGCAAGAAGCTCTACATTACGTCCCAGGTTGCTAAGAGCTCTTAGCAACCTGGGATTCTCTGGTCATCCCCCTGCTGCCCCCCTCACTCCTAACACCCCTCCAAAGTGACCCAATCTGATTCCACCTTAAGCAACCATCTCAGGCTGCCTCATTATAGGGACAGCCCTGCTTATATTGCATGTTATAGATTCATATGTATATTCACAAATGCCATATTTGAAAATTACAAGGGAGTTGTTTCCAGATAGGATAGGCACGCAACGTAGTCCATATTTTGGCCTGTATGTGATACACAGGTCGTTCCTTAGTCCAAAGTGGATCCGACGGGTATAAGTTGTGCAAAAAAAGAAATTAGAGGAGACCATGTGTGAATGTTTTTCCTTCAGCAAAAAGAGCAGATTCTATTCACCCAAATGAATAACACTCACCATATAGTGGCTGCCTAAAGCTGGCCATACACCTATAGATTTTCTGCAGATTTTCTATGCTCAGATGGAAAAAGTGCAACAGATTCTTCCATTTATGCTAAATTGTGTGGATGGAGGAATCTCCAATACCTGAACAATCGGATTGGATGCAGGCATTGTTCATGTGTTTTGAGAGCCAGCGGGGCCGACTGGCAAGATACTTGGCCCAGTAGGAGATTCCTCCATCCCCAGTTTAGCGTAGATGGAGGAATCTGTTGCACTTTTTCCATCTGACCATAGAAAATCTGCAAACAATCTATAGGTGAAAGACCAGCTTTACACAGTTATAATCAGATTCCCATTAGATCTTAATAAACATAAGCAGTTACTGTAGCCAAGACAGACTCTTCAGCAAGTTCTTTGTAAGAAAAAGATTTATATAGAACTCACACCTTGTTTCAAGGTGAGCCTCACCTCTTTTATCAGATCTTAGCTTTCACACACTGCTAAACTAAGCATATGAGCTAGAGTACAATATTAGGTGTAACTCAGTCACTATATAAGGTGAGCAATATTATTTGGACAAATGGAGTCTGCCCTTTTAGCTCTTTAGTGAGGTTATATAGGTTAAAATGTAAATGGAATAACACGCATTCGTTAATTTTCTATGCCATCTCAAAAACACATTTAAACAAATGTTATGTATAGGGTTCATTCTTGCCCCTTTAATGAGGAAAACACAAATCTGACTACTCCTAAGCTTGATATGTCATAAGCAAACTTGATGTCTGTATTTGCATACTTAAGATCCATCCAATCTCCATAATGTAATAGATGCTTATGCTTTGAATTGCAAACAATTGTGTCTATTGCCTCATAGTATTTTGCATTATGGGGCTGAAACATTTCTGATACTGTCCACTCAATTGACAGTTTATATTATGTATTAACCTGGACAGTCATATATGCCACCAGCTAAATAAGAATACAATTTTTCAATGACATCACAGCAAAAGAAGAGTAAAAAAATATCTACAAAATGAAGCCAGTGGGATTGTGATGGAAATGAGAAAAGAAAGTAACCTATATATAGAAAATAATTCACTAAATTATTCCACATATTTGTTATGAAAGCCTTTTGAAATGTATCTCTTTGGGATTTGACTTCATTGTGGTGCGTCATAAAAAATATATGTATGCAATACTGAAATGTCATTTCGCAGAACAATAATAGTAAAGGAAAAGTAATTATACTACCATCTCATGTGCCAGCTTTGCCACTAGGATAACGTACTTGCATAAGCACAGAGAATAACAGCAGTAATGAAGAAACCTTTAGAATGAAATGATGAATCTTCTGTAGATACACTATTTGCATCTAAACTGGTTACGTAACTTAACCCCAATTGTATTCCAGAGAAACAACAACCCCTTCTGCGTACAGACAACAGGTGTTTTCAGCAAGAATTTAGGTGTTAAAGCAACATTAACACTCTGAGAACTGGCAGTGAAAAGGTGTCCAGCAGATTTCCCTGCTATGAGTGCTTGCTGTGGCTAGCAACTCTTTGCTCATCAGTTGTTAACCAGGGTGCTGGGTTACTGCCAGGTGATCAGCTTTCAGTCTGCCATTAGCAGATTTGTGTCCTTACTGGAGGTATGTTTGACAAGCACTGTTGTTATTCACAAAGGATGACTGAGTGTGTGAGGGCTACCATAATCATTCAGTCAATATAAATCCAATCAGGTGGGCCCTCACAATACCTACAGTAGTTGTTACAATTAGATTTTAATGTGTGAGGCTAGCTTAAGGGCATAACACATCAAAAAACATGGCAAAAGCACATTAAAAATACACATGACCACGTATGCAGAAATGCATCCAGATCTGGTCAGGAGATGATGTGAACAAGCCCTTAAACAGCACTGTAGTCACATTAAAACAGCAAAAAAGGGCTCAAATTATAAGAAGAGAACTAAATCGTGCCTGTTCCATCACCCGTGTCTCTTATCTTTACTCACATGAAGAGACTGACAATGGTGGACTATGGTGTGCAACATGTGTCAGTACAGAAGCCTATAGTTTCCACCAAGGGTGCCTGTGACAGGCTGGCTACAAAGGAGCACAATTGTGCGACAGTTGTTAGCTCATAACAGGAAGTGCCTAAACAAGAACCTTCATGTTAGGGTCACCAGACATTTTTTTAATAAGTGACAAAGAATTAAAAGAATTAAAACTATTTTAATTAAAATTAACTTGCTAAAGCTTACATGAGATTTTAGTGCTCTAATTAAAATGTAAGCTAGTGTATAGAGGACTGAAAAGACAAACTTTCATCAAATATGTCATATGTTTTCAAGCTAAAATATTTTAAATATTATCTGTTTGTGTTTTAGATGGATATACTCCAATTGTGATGCAGCCAACAAACGCTAGCGAGAAAACGCAGCTGATTGGGGACAGTCGTCGCACTTACCAAACAGACTCATAACGAGTGAAAGCCAGAGCACAATTATTTTGGGATTTTCCTACATGCAGAAAGTTGTATAGCTATAGGAAAAATTACCATTACTGATCTTTCTGTGTATGAAAATATTTGCATACATCAGGTGTGGACATCTCATGTGAAAGGTATCGGGTCGTGTAGAAAATAAAAGCTCTAATAACTTTGAACTGCATTAAACATTTTAAAAACAGTCCACTACAAGTCAAATATATGCATTGTGATGATATAACCAACTCTTAATCCTTTCAATATTTATATACTGTAGGTCAGGCCAGTGTACTTTTTGAAATGTTATAAAGTGGGTGTTAAAGCTAAACTACTAGCAAGCAGGTAAATAGCTTGAGTATTAGCTTGAATATTACATGTTTAGAACAGTGGGCTCTGGATGCTATAATTACCATCTACCTTTGTCCAAATGAAACAAGTGGCATGAAGTAATAGAGGGCACGGAGTCATCACAGAAAAGCAGCAGTAAGGAATAACAATCAAAACTGCAAACAAAAAAGACAAATTGGCTGGATGGGAAACCTGATAAACGAACTAAGTTGTTCACTATGAATTCAGACATCATTTCTTTGATTGCTCAACAAGAACAGCTCACTTATTCAAATGGACATTTTAAGTATAAACTCATTTGCAAAAATATGTGGCTCTGTTTGTAAAAATGTTAGTGCTTTTCATAAAATTTAGGATTACATTAATAAATCATGTTTTTTTTTTTCTTGCTAAGCATTGGAAGCAGTCATACAGGGTTCACTGTATATGTGACATGGTTTGCTCTATGGACCATAGAACCTTGAGAGCCATACGTTCTATTTTCACCATTCCACTTCATGGGTCCTTTCAGCTCTATGGATAACATTTTGGTCAATGTATGTTGGACTAACCATTGAATAAACAAACCAGTACCAGTAGACAATGTGATGTGTACTGTTGTCTACCATTTAATGTTCACCAGAGGATTTTCTTTGGCTTGTGTATAG